AGGCGAGCGAGCCGTTCGAACCAGCGCCGATATTATGGCTATAGCTTGCGGCGTCCCTGCTAACCACTCGGCCATTCAACTCACCAAATACTGGTTTATTTTCAAAGAATAACAATCATATTACACGAATTGAAACCAGATGAAATTATTTGATTAAATTAATATTATTTGAACTTAAAACTGGGTTTTAAGTAGCATTTGCAAACATGAATGTTATTTTTCTGATCCGTGCCACAGAAATCAAAATAACCGAAGCAATTCAATCTCGCTAATAATGACCAGGGGAGTGGTAGAAATATCCGAGTTACGGATATAATATGTACTAACAATAATCGATTATATATGCCTATATATCTATCTGTCTCTTATACACATCTAGATGTGTATAAGAGACAGATATAATCGATTATTGTTAGTAAATTATACATACATATGCCTACTGTATAAATATTTTGTACATATGTAGATATATTTATAGGCCTATATATAATATACTTCATAGTATTCATAGTATATGTAAATTTGCTTTTGCTTTATAAAACATTTATTCAGTCAAGTATCATTTATGGTTTAGAAGTTTACGGCTGCACTTATAAATCCCATTTACATCCAATTTTCTTTGTTCAAAAGTTATGCCTTAGATGTATTACTTTTTCTGACTTTAAAGCACTGTCTTCTCTCATATTTAAACAACTTAGTATCTTATATATTTACAAACTATTTGAATTGAGCACTATTACTTTTGCTTTTGATTTAGTTAACGGAAAACTTCCGCATGGAGCTAATGAATATTTTAATTATGTTATCCATGACATAAACACTAGATTTAGTAACCGATTTAATTTTGCCATACAGATGCTGGAAAATTTAGAATTTCTTTTTGTGGCTTACAACTCTGGAATAATTTACCTTTGAATTTAAAATGCACCTCTTCGAGATCAATATTTTTACACGATTTCAAATTTTTATTACTACAAAATGTTTATGATGTCTGCATATTTATAGTTTATTACTTCGTAATTTTTATTTTTAATTAAGAAATAATGCTGAAATCTGTTATGTTCGATATTTAAAAAAATATTATGCTCTGATTGTAAGATTTGGAATTAAACTTTGATTAATTTTTAATTAAGAAGTAATGTTTAATTTTGTTATGTTTGATATTTTAAAAAAATATTATGTATTGTGAGATTTGGAGTCAAACTTCGATTAGCGCAAGCTATTTTTGACTTCCTTTCACCGATTTGTGTGAATAAATAAATATGAAATATGAAATGAAATATAAATATTACATATATATATATATCCATCCGAATAAATTCCTTTGAAAACTTTATAATGATATATATATGCTTACTATACAAGTATTTATGTTATATGTATATACATCCGAATCAATTTCTTCAAAAATTTTATGATTTCAGAGATTGCCACAAACTTATCAAAGAATATTCAAGGTAAGCTCATTTACTTAAATGATTAAATAGCTCAGTTACTCAAATGATTAGTTTTAAATATGATGTAAAATCTAACAACTGTGTTCATATTATTTTCCAGAGATCTGTGCAGCAAGAAGCATGTACTACGACAGAAGAATGGGTCTACGTGAGGACAGCAACAGACATGTATAATGTAAATGTGGAAATACAAGATGGTGGTATGTATTTTTGGAAAAGACATTGCACCAATCACGGAACTGCGTGTCGAGGGTTCTCTGGTACAAGCTCCTGCTTAAATAAATTGAGCTGGACGCCCACGAACGCACGCCCAGTAGGAAGTGACGGCAGCTACGAAGTGCACTATATACCGATAGAATCTTGCTGTGCATGCGCTGTTACGATCTGATTATACAATAATTTTGAATAGTGTATGTTAAAACTAATTTAAAAAAAAGTAGGTATTCTCTTCCGTTGGAACCAGAAAATTATTTCCATTGAAAATTGTTGAATTATTAAAAATTTCAGTTTTTAGAAAGTCTCATTAGAAGCAATAGGCTAACAAGATTGAGCATAAAGTGCGTCAAAACTGTAATGCTTTCTGTTTAGGTCCATGCTGTTTGTAATAAATCCATTCTGTTTAAATTCACATTGTGAAAACAATACAATTAGTTTATTCACTCAACTTTTCAACTCTCCGGGTATAACGCATAACTCAAAAACTACTGTATCAAATTATCGCACATTGATAATGTTACTTATATCTCGATCCTCCTCAAATTTGATGCTGATCAGAAGTAAGGTGCAGATTTTAGAATGTACTGTTCCAATTTTACTTCAAATTAGGTCTACAAATGACATGTGAATAATAATAAACTATGGAAAATAGTATTCTATAAATGCACAAATAATACAAAGTTAATTAAAAGTAATTTTAAAAGTGGAAAATCAATAATGATCAAGTAATACATACACCTTTACCTCTAGGCAACACTTCACCTGGTAAGTCAGAACACAATCGTATGATCAGTAGATAATGCCACAGAGCTCAGTGGCGTAACAGGCTGGTGGGGCAGGGCAGACTTTCCCCCACCCTGACGGTTTTTACCGGGCTGACCAAGCCGTGGTACCGGGCTGGGTAATAAGAGAAAAGAAAGAGGGGAGAGGGACGTTTTAAAGCTTTTTTTGTTATTTTCTCTTCTTTCCAGTATTACCAGGGGATGAAAGAGGCAAATTCTTTGCACCTCTTCTGCCCTCTCTCGTCAGAATTGCCAAAGCTTTCCCACCACTCTATGAAGCAATAAATAATTGCTCCATTGTTCAGGCAGTTTTAAACTCAACGTTGTATTATGTTTCGTTTATCATCCTTTCTACTATGAACGTCATTATTACATCATTAGTTACGTTCATCGTGCATTTTGTGAAGAATTAAAAGCCACATAACGCCTGTATATTGATTCCATTCTCATTCTACAGTCATTAACATTCACCGACATCAATCGTCGTCATCGCCATAATCATCATCAATCTCATAATCACCCACCATCATTCTCATCCTCATAGAGAAATAGTACTTACTTTCATATTGTATATGAAGATGAAAGACTACAGACGAAGAAGACTTTACAATTTAATAACAAATTAAATACAGGTCTCTCCCTCCAAATAAATACCACTGAGTTTTGGTGGTCTTTAGCTTTGGTCTCTAATTAGAATCCCTCTAATTAAAGACTGGCACTATAAGTGGTACATCACTGTTTAGAGGGAAATTAAGAAATGATGATAATAAATGTAAGATCCTTTTATTTCATTTACAGTTACTGTATGCAGTTATTAATAAACCATTTCCAGGCATTCGCACATCAAGTCCTTGGGCTCGTTCCGATACCTAAATCTCCATTACAATATTACTAACAAGTTAAAACCTGTCTCTTATACACATCTAGATGTGTATAGGAGGCAGATTCAATAGAGCACTGTATACACAAAACATCATCTTATATTGTGTATTATTTTGATGTGTATATTCATATCATCATCATTATATTAAAAATGCATTAAAGTCACTACCGGTATATATTGTAATGTATTCTTTATATGAAGGATTTTTAAAATTTAGTTGGTCTGCCAAAACCATATGATACATGTAAGTTTGAATAATCAATATGGAGAATGTATAAACATCTTCACTAAAATCATTATTTAAAGGTACTTCTTATTTAAAGAGGAAATGTTTAGATTTCTGCCAAAACCTGCACAGTATTTAACATTTTACATCATTAATTCAATAGTTCAAAGGGAATTCTGTAGCCCCGTACCCAAAAAGGGTGGGGGGAGGGCCAATTCCCCCTGCTAATTTGTTTGGGTTAGTGTTAATTAGGGTTAAAGTTGATTACTATCGAGGCGAGTGTCATCGTTTAGACCACAGAGGCCCGTACGGTATCACTATGGATCTAAGACCACTAGTCTTTCTCTCTTTATATAACTTGAGGGCTCACACATAGGTGAGGCATTTTTAAAGGAAAATAGGAAATAATATTCTAATCAAGTTGCTTCTTAGCACTGGAAACATAAAAATGTACAAATCAAATAGATTAAATTAGGGTTAGGGAACATGATGTTATAAGTCGTAGCTAG